CCTCCTGAATTAGTTGTCCTTGTGCTCTTGGAGTAATTTTGGTAGTCTGGCCACTCCTGGGAAGGTTCACCACTGTTCCAAGTTTTCTCCATTTGTGGACAATGACAGTGGTTTGCTTTAGTCCCAAATCCTTAGAAATGGCTTTGTAACCCTTTCCAGACTGACACATTTCAATTACTTTGTTTATCATCTGTTCTTGAATTTTAGATCATAGCATGATGTGTTGCTTTTTTAGTTCTTTTAGCGTGCTTCACTTTGTCAGACAATTTCTATTTAAATGATTTCTTGATTCAGTAGGTCTGGCAGTAATCAGGCCTGGGTGTGGCAAGTGAAATTTAACTCCGCTTTCCAAAAAAGTGTGGTTAATTGCAGTTCATTCATGATTTATCAAGGCAGGGGGGGCAATCACTTCACACAAGGCCAGGCAGGTTTGGATAGTTTTTTTCCCTTAATAAATGAATACATCATTTGAAAACTGCATTTTGGATTTACTTAGGTTATCTTTGTATAATATTGACATTTGTTTGATTATCCGAATCATTTCAGTGTGACAAATTTGCAAAAAAAGCAAACTATCAGGAAGGTGGCAAATACTTTTTCACAGCACTGTACATATTAAAAGCCTGATGAAGGGATCTATGTTATCCCAAAAGCTTGTATCTTTAATATCTTAAGTTAACCAGTAAAGGATATCACTCAGACTTTCTGCATTTAGTGATGATTAAAGCAATACAAGACTCTACTGAACCTGATATGAAAAAGAAGAAATCGACGTGATGTGTCAGATGCCATGCAAGTAAAATTGTCAGTAAATGGACCTTGATTTCATTGTTGAGTACAGAAAAAACAAAAATCTCACAAGTTGTAGTTAGATTGTGTATTTGTCATTTGCTGTTTTTATAGAAATAAATAAAATAGAACTCACAAGTGTAATAAAAGCGCCACACCCTTAATACTTTAAAGCAGCAATTCCACCTCAAAGAAACCAAATAAATTTCTTAGTGCTATAACTTAAATAAAGGAATGCGCTAAAACCACAAACTATTCCTAAATTAGTGTAGAAGATATATACCGTATTTTCCGGCGTATAAGACGACTGGGCGTATAAGACGACGACCCCTACTTTTCCTGTTAAAATATAGGGTTTGAGCTATACTCGCCGTATAAGACTACCCCTCTTCCAACGCACACCAAATAAAAATGAAAAAAACATCAGATTTGATTTCAATATGGTATGGCATTCCAGTATGGTATTCCAATGATGGGGTGCTATTCCTCCCACTGACACCAATGATGGGGTGCTATTCCTCCCACTGACACCAATGATGAGGCACTACTCCTCCCACTGACACCAATGATGGGGCACGATTTCATCCACTGACACCAATGATGGGGCACTATTCCTCCCACTGATACCAATGATGGGACACTATTCCTCCCACTGACACCAATGATGGTGCCCCATCATTAGTGTCAGTGTGTGAGGAATAGTGCCCCATCATTAGTCAGTGGGAGGAATAGTTCCCCATCATTGGTGTCAGTGGGAGGAATAGTGTCCCATCATTGGTGTCAGTGGGAGGAATAGTGTCCCATCATTGGTGTCAGTGGGAGGAATAGTGCTCCATCATTGGTGTCAGTGGGAGGAAAAGCGGCCCATCATTGGTATCAGTGGGAGGAATAGCACCCCATCATTGGTGTCAGTGGGAGGAATAGCACCCCATCATTGGTGTCAGTGGGAGGAATAGCACCCCATCATTGGTGTCAGTGGGAGGAATAGCGCCCCATCATTGGTGTCAGTGGGAGGAATAGCGCCCCATCACTGGTATCAGTGGCAGGAATTGCGCCCCATCATTGGTGTCAGTGGGAGGAATAGCGCCCCATCATTGGTATCAGTGGCAGGAATTGCGCCCCATTATTGGTGTCAGTGAGAGGAATTGCGCCCCATCATTGGTGTCAGTGGGGGAGGAATAGTGCCCCATCATTGGTATCAGTGGGGGAGGAAGAATAGTGCCCCATCATTGGTGTCAGTGGGGAGGAGGAATAGTGCCCCATCATTGGTATCAGTGGGGAGAATAGTGCCCCATCATTGGTATCAGTGGGGGAGGAACAGTGCCTCATCGTTGGTGTCAGTGGGGGAGGAACAGTGCCTCATCGTTGGTGTCAGTGGGGGAGGAACAGTGCCTCATCGTTGGTGTCAGTGTGGAGGAGGAATAGTGCCCCATCGTTAGTGTCAGTGGGGGAGAGGAGCGGCTGCTCCTTCTTCCAGTGTGGCCGCTCGATTTTCGCGGGCTCCGCCTCCTCGCCGGTGATTGGTCGCCTGTGTGCCTTTCCAGTGCTGGCGCCCAATCACCGGTGAGGAGGTGGAGAGCCGAGCGGCCGCGTGACCATCGAGCGGGGCCGAACTGAAAGAAGGAGCAGCCGCGCTTCCTGGACCAGATCGTCGTGGGACCGGAGCCAGGTAAGGTACAGCAGCCCCTCTGTCCACCCCTGTACTTAGTGTCCGTTGGAGGAGGAGGGGGGGGGCGGCGCCGCGCCGCCCCTCGAAAAAGTGCCGCCCTGACACCGGCTCGCACCGGCGTATAAGACGATCAACAACTTTTCAGAAGATTTTCAGGGGTTGAAAAGTCGTCTTATACGCCGGAAAATACGGTATATCTATTCTCAATTAATATCAAAAAATATCAAAATTATGTGCAAAACTATTTTTTAGTGCATAAGTAATTTAAATAATTAAATTTGTGAATATAAAAAAATTGTCCAATTCTGAATTTCTTCAAATGTCCAAACAAATCCTTTTCAAATTCAGGTGCTCTCAAAGAAATTGTGCCAAAATCCACCACCAAAGTAAAGTTGGGTAACTCACCAGAGCTCCATGCTGATCAATCTCTAGATCAGCAAAAAACGCTTTTTGCTCTGGGAGCAGATGCAATAAATCAACTTCTCAGGTGTGATGATCAATAGCTACACAATATAACAGGATAAAACAGCAAATGGTATAACAGTCTCCTGTTCCTGAGACCGCCCCTTGAAGACGTCATTCATGACGAAACTAGTAGGGCTTGGCTTGCTGGATGCTGACGTCTGTGGAGAGGATTGAGTCACGAGCGCTGTAGTGAGTGTGCGGGGAACAGGAGACTGTTATACCATTTGCTGTTTTATGCTGTTATACTGGTGTCGGTGAAGACACCCTTTTTGTGAGTGTAAATCTTTATTAAATTGTTGGATACTTTTATAAAAAAACTGGCTGCACCATGATTTTCTCTTTCATTCCCAAACATGACCTCGGTGGAGAGATATAAAAAGAGAGTGATATAATGCTCCTGGAACCATTATATTGAGTGGTGGATACCTACCTTATGGATGATTGTGTAGCTATTGATCATTCACACACCTGACAAGTTGATTCATTGCATCTGCTCCCAGAGCAAAAAGCGTTTTTTGCTGATCTAGAGATTGATCAGCATGGAGCTCTGGTGAGTTACCCAACTTTATTTTGGTGGTGGATTTTGGCACAATTTCTTTGAGAGCACCTGAATTTGAAAAGGATTTGTTTGGACATTTGAAGAAATTCAGAATTGGACATTTTTTTTATATTCACAAATTTAATTATTTAAATTACTTATGCACTAAAATAGTTTTGCACATAATTTTGATATTTTTTGATATTAATTGAGAATAGATATATATATCTTTTGCACTAATGTTTCTACACTAAATTAGGAATAGTTTGTGGTTTTAGCGCATTCCTTTATTTAAAATAGAACTCATGTTTTTCGTTTAGCTTCCCTGTTTCAGGCTATCCAGATGTAGCATAAAATCAAGCTATATTCATCCTTTAAAGTCATACTGATATCTAACAGAAGTGGTGCTGGTAAGGATTTTCTAAAGTCTGATGAAAGGGGTATGAAAGGGGCAGAAATATTGGCAATCCAGTGAAGGTCTGTAATCATAAAAAGGTTAAAGTGTTACTAAACCCACAACAGTACAATCAGTCTGTATATGCAGTAAAGCATGCTTGGTATACTCACTGTGGAACCTAAGGGGTTAATCCTCTGTATTGTGTAAAAAGGCTGTTTGACCCTGACTTGCTTGATCCTTCCCTTCTTCCAGTGTCACTGACTCATCTCCTGATAAGACATATCTGTGGAGTTACTCTGCACATGCACAGTTTGGTGTGTATTGCTAGAGAGATTTTTTTTCTAGGGAGAGTGCATGTGATCAGCACAGGGCCAATCAGCACTGTCCAGACAGAGGTCATGGGTTCTGCATCCTTCTAGAGCAGAATGAAAACTTCTCCTACAAGCTTTAATCAGTGTTCAGTTGGATACTGATAGAAGTCACAAGTCTGCTATATACTTCTGATGAGAACAGGTGTTTAGCAGTTTATATTTACCAAAATAATTGCATTTCCATGTTCTGTGTACTGTGGGAGACCAGATATAGCAAATGCAGAGTCCTGGGTTTAGTAACACTTTAACCTCCCTAGCGGTCTGATTATGTCCATATTTCTGTGCTCAAAGCAGTACATTTTTTTTGCATGGAAATATGTATTTTTTTATTGTAATTTTTAGGAATAACTCACTGAAATCTGTCCAAACAAGAGTCTAGTAAACATCCCGGGTATGATAAAACTTGAAACACGAAATCATAAATTATAATTTAATAAATAATCATAAAAAATAATAGTTTAATAATAATAAATTTAATTCATAAATATAATCAAACCAAAAACACTGAAATTTGAAATATAGCGCCAAGTTCGCACATTGCTGAGCAAAGTCGCAAAATCGTTTTCAGTGTCTGATGACGAATTTCCCCCACGAATCATTATCACTCAATTCTGCAAGTGGTTCTGATTTACTATCGCTGTTCTCTAGCCGATCTAAAACCGCGTCTGACCTAAAGGGACGCTTTTTGGACGCCATGGACATTTCTCAGTTTCCAGGCAGAAAGAACAGTAATAATGCAGGCAGGGCGCCGGACAAAGCACTCGGGACAAAATGTATGTGAAATGGTTTGATACAGGAATGTTATACTATGTGATTTTAGTGTATTTAGTGAATGTCACTTTTTGTCATTTTCAAATTTCCCGCCGTTCCGTCCTCGTACGTCCCGACGTCGCAGGGAACGGAACCCGGAAAACAGATGCCGACATCTTCCGGAGGACATTACAGGGGACACTGCAGGGGGGACATCGTGGGAGCGCAGGACAAGGTAAGTCAAGAACAGATCCCGGAGCAGCGCCGCATGGCAAGCCCAAGTGTAGCTCGGGGTTACCGCTTGTGGTACTGAAACTTTACCCCGAGCTACACTCGGGAATACCTCCAGGGAGGTTAAAGACCCCTGCTTCAAAAAGTCATTTCTCTACAGCATAACATACATGCATATATGCATCCTAAAGCATATTCTGTACACGGGGCACTTTTTACTTTATGATACTTCATCATTTTTATGTTATTTCTAAGGAATCAGTGTTATTTTTTTTATTGGTAAATTATCAGTTTGTGGGGTATTTTGTATGCAAAAATCTGTTACAAATACAGATGAAACAACTCATCATACAACTAAGTGAATTGACATTTAGGTCTAATTGATTTTCCTACGGCTGTTAATAACCTTTTCCTGCCCACGTAACACATATGCGTAGGCAAAAAGGGTGGGCTCTAACATCCCACACCCGCATTTATCCGTCAATGAACAGCCACGGTTTTGGTGCTGAGAGCATGCTGACTATGCACTCCCAACCAATCAGAGTAGTCACGTGATTGGGTAGATCTTATAGCCCAATAAAAGGGATCCTGGGGCTAGATGAGAAGGCGTTAAGGTGTATATACAGCCCAAACATTTTATTGTTAGCTTTGGATTCACTAGCCAATGGTTAAAACTCCTGATGATGGGATTTACTTTCACTTCCTATCCCATAAACACATCAAGATGTGAGAAGAAGTGGCTCCACAGGAACAGGTGTCCCGATTAGAAGATGTTCTCTCCTGTTCTGGTGAAATCTGCAACATTTTGGATTTCATTTTCTTCCCTGAAGGCAATAGTCACCAGGAAAACAGAGAGGGTGAGGGGACACAGGTGGCAATTAAAACAAGAGGGTCTAACCTTTCCATGCTCAAAAAAAAAGTCTTGGCTATACATACATTGTAAGCAAGGGCACGGTTTGCACAGCCTGATTAGACACAGGTGTGCCACCTAGTGGCTATTTTCCTGCATATGAAATATTATCTTGAAAAGTATGACACAGCAAAACTATGAAGAGCGTAGCAGACATTATTTTAATAAGGAAAAAAAAACTACTAAGAGATTCAAAATTTCATCTGTAATTTATGTTTTCTTTTTGCCAACTGCATCTTAAAAGTACAGTATCACCAATGTCAAAAGGAACACAATGTACCCCTTTGTTGTACCATAAGCCCAGCTTTGAGTGTTTTGGATTTGTATGAGGTCCCAGGTCCCACCGCTGGAAATTTTTCATTTGGATTACTTACTCTCCCAGAATCCAGAATCCTCATACAGATGGGATAATAGGATTACTGGCAAGAATTTCCCATTCTTTTGCAAGACTGGGTTTGAATGTTCAATAATCCAGTATACCATTGAAAATATTTGTCACTGGTGAAAATGAGTACAATGTAAAGGTCAACTGCATTAAATAGCTGATCAGCAGATCCAGAGGAACAAGGTGAACTCCTTCCAATTCATGTCATCCACATAAATCTTCAACATTCAGGGTGAATCAGATAAGAGACAGAAGAATTCAGGACAAGGACGTCAAAACAGCAGGTTGTCACTGTTTTCTTTCTCTTAATGTATATTCAAATCCATAACCAACACTTATTATAGCTTGCCAGTCCCTAGAAGAGGTAGATACATACGTTTTCTTTCTTTAGGCTTTCTCTTTCCCTTTTCCCTTTCCCTTTCCTTTCCCTCCCTCAATCCTTCCTTTCCTTACCTCCTTCCTCCAATATGTATATGATGTGGTCTTCTTATTTTCCTTTTGTTTTCCTTTCCTTCCTTTTCCTATCCCCTTTCCTTTTTTTCTTTCCTTTCCTTTTTCCTTTCTTTTTCCTTTTCCTTCCTTCCCTCTCTAATTCCCTCTCTAATTTCCTTCTTCGCTTTTCCTTCCTTCCCTCTCTAATTCCCTTCTTCCCTTTTCCTTCCTTCCCTCTCTAATTCCCTCTCTAATTCCCTTCTTCCCTTTTCCTTTCTCCCTCTCTAATTCCCTTCTTCCCTTTTCCTTCCTCCCTCTCTAATTCCCTCTCTAATTCCCTTCTTCCCTTTTCCTTCCTTCCCTCTCTAATTCCCTCCCTAATTCCCTTCTTCCCTTTTCCTTCCTTCCCTCTCTAATTCCCTTCTTCCCTTTTCCTTCCTTCCCTCTCTAATTCCCTTCTTCCCTTTTCCTTCCTTCCCTCTCTAATTCCCTTTTTCCCTTTTCCTTCCTCCCTCTCTAATTCCCTCTCTAATTCCCTTCTTCCCTTTTCCTTCCTTCCCTCTCTAATTCCCTCTCTAATTCCCTTCTTCCCTTTTCCTTCCTTCCCTCTCTAATTCCCTCTCTAATTCCCTTCTTCCCTTTTCCTTCATTCCCTCTCTAATTCCCTTCTTCCCTTTTCCTTCCTTCCCTCTCTAATTCCCTCTCTAATTCCCTTCTTCCCTTTTCCTTCCTTCCCTCTCTAATTCCCTCTCTAATTCCCTTCTTCCCTTTTCCTTCCTTCCCTCTCTAAATCCCTCTCTAATTCCCTTCTTCCCTTTTCCTTCCTCCCTCTCTAATTCCCTCTCTAATTCCCTTCTTCCCTTTTCCTTCCTCCCTCTCTAATTCCCTCTCTAATTCCCTTCTTCCCTTTTCCTTCCTTCCCTCTCTAATTCCCTTCTTCCCTTTTCCTTCCTTCCCTCTCTAATTCCCTTCTTCCCTTTTCCTTCCTTCCCTCTCTAATTCCCTTCTTCCCTTTTCCTTCCTTCCCTCTCTAATTCCCTTCTCCCTTTTCCTTCCTTCCTCTCTCTAATTCCCTTCTTCCCTTACCTCCTTCCTCCTATAAATGATGTTGTCTTCTTTTGTACTGGATCTCGAGTACTGAGGATACTAAACACAAAGTTATTAAATAGCATGTATTCTACAAAATGAAGCATTCATCTCCTTGGCTCACCATTGTGGTAATCATTTACTAAAATTGAAGCAAAATTGGAAAAGTTGTCCAGTAAGCCGTCATGCTTAATTGTTCAGCCTAAATGTGGTGTTTGAGTAGTTGTTTAGTTTTATTGTTTTTATTCTAGTTTTTACTCAAGGCAACCTCTTTTTCTTCCTCTTGCCTTTATGTCATTTTCTATCTGCAATCTCCTTTTCCACCCCTTTCTGATACCGTGCAAAGCAAAAAACTAAGTGATTGACAGTCAGAAAAATCTGTGTATTCACAAATTTTAGAAATAGCTATGAGAAAAACACATAGCTCTGACCAGAATGTAAGGAATTCACAAAGAATTGTGAAGCACAGTGGCTAAATGGTTAGCACTTCTGCCTGGCAGTATTAGGGTCATTGGTTCAAATCCCAACCACAGCACCACCTGCCTGGAGTCTGCATGTTCTCCCTATGCTTATGTGGGTTTCTTCAAGGCACTCAAGTTTCCTCCCACACTCAAAAGACATGCTGATAGGCAGGGGTGGACTGACCATTTGGAAACTCGGGCACTGTCCGAGGGCCCGGGGTCAGTAGGGGGCCCCATGAGCTGCCCCTGGTACCTTTTTCATAGGCTTTTTTGAGTTTGGGCAAGGATACAGGGGTCCCATGATCCCCTATTGCCCGGGGGCCCCATGAGTTGTCAGTCCGCCCCTGCTGATAGGTGAATTGGCTCCTGTCTAAATTGACCCTTGTATGTGTACATTAGGGACCTTAGATTGTATGCCTCTTGAGGGTCAGGGACTGATGTGAATATACAATCTATATGTGAAGTGCTGTGTAAATTTACAGTGCTATATAAGTACCTGTACTAATAAAAGTGGGGGGGGGGTTTATGTTCCGCATAACCTCTCAATGTTACCTAAGACAACCTATTTCAAGTTTTTTTTTCCTATTGCACCAGAATGAACATTACATTTATGACATTCCCACGAAAATGGAAAAAAAAAAGACACAAGTATATGACTAAATTCTCCATATGAAATAAACCATTTCATGAAAGATGTTTTGCTTAATCATTCTTCCGCCTTCTGTGCAAGCAGACACAACACAGAGAGCGATAAAGAGAAAGAAAATGAAAGGCCTATTTTCATACCCTTATTCTATGATTTTTCTCCCTTTAATTCTGTTCATTTATGCTTTTTTTTTAACACTGAATGATCTAATTGCTCCAACAGAAGCCAGTATGTTCCTTTGAAATAATAAAACAGTTTTCATGTCTGAAGTTATTTTATATTTTTTTTTTTTCTTTCAGAAAGACCGTCTGCAAAACATTGAAGGGTTGCGTTGAATTTTTATTAAACGGGGAGATGGGGGGAAAAAAATACCTTTCCATATGGGTTAGAACTTAGATGAAATGAGAATTGGTTGCCACCAAGCAGAAAATTTGCACACTTTATGAATGCCAGTTAATTACGACACTTCAGAGGCGCTTCTGAAAGGATAAGGGAGGCTGCATAAATTTAGCTCTAATCCCGGCTAGCAAAACTAATTTGCAGGGGACAGTCTTATCTAGCTACTGCAGCTTTCTCAGAAAATTAACCTTGGATATTTGGGCCCAATTCAGAAAGTGTTTGATTTTTTTTCCCCCCTGTTCAGTCCTCAACATAAGAGAATTTTTTTTTCTTAAATTCAGTACAATACCTGATTTTTAAGAGTTGCTATCAGTTCTTTAGGTGGTTTATGATTATTTTTGGTGAGTAAAAATACACACTCATACATGCATAAGATTGCCCTTTATGCATCTCTTTATGGTGTCTTAAAAGTGCATCTGAAGTTGTTATCGCTTGTCGAATAGGGTATTTGGAGGTGGGTGAGAAGAGGCCGCAACTGATTTTTTTAATAATAATAATAATAATAATTATTATTATTATTATTATTATTATTATTATTATTAATAATAATAATAATAATAATAATAATATAAATTATCAAAGTGCCATTCAAAAATAATTCAAGCCTACAACCGTGATCATTTTAGTGGAAATGAAGAAATCTTAATAAAAAAATGGGGATTTTTAATGAACTGTTCAAACAAAGCCTTGTCTGTCACTGCTATTAATAGCATGAATAGTAATTTAAATTTAGCCAAGATAGAGCTCTATTAATTGGGCTTATTCAGCATATTTATATTATTACCTTTGATTTTTTTTTTCAAAGAGCGGCTTCACAGACTGACTTTAAATAGGTTCTAAAGGCTTAATGATTTCTTACCTTAATAAATTTTTCTGCATTTAGGATGCACAGGATCCCCCTTCACCAGTCCCATCCTTATACTTACCTGAGCCTGATCTTGATCCAGCACTGTGCCCAAGGGCAGCGGCTCTGCCCCTCCCCACAGGATAGAAAGGCCCCATTGATTTCATTAATTGGCACTAGTTATTTTCAACTAGATAATGATGAATATTTGTTTTTTACTCGATGGGTAGGGAAAGATTCACTACAGTTGAGGGAAGTTATGAAGGGGAATAATTTATGTTCACTACACAATTTACATGAGAAATGGGGCATCATGAACTTAGATGGAGATATGCACAAATTGAACACTTTGTAAAGTCCTTACTTCAGCTGATATGCCCAAGAGATAGCCTAACATCAATAGAAATGTTATGCAGTTCACCAGATGGTAAAGAGGCACTATATCTCACAAACAGGGCTTTTATTTTCAGCAGGAACATGGCAGAACACAGTGCTGGCTCCTCCAGCACTGAATGTATGTAATGGCAAGGGGTTCTTTTTTGTACTTCCTGAAGACGATCTATTCGTCGAAACTAATCGAGGGCTTAAGACGCAACTTCCGCTAACATCACTTCCTGTATTTGGAACACACGCTGGAATGCGGCAGCCATCTTAATTCCCATTCATAATACACAAAGCTGAATACACCAAGTGCCAGGAAAGGCACTTTGTTTGTGAGTGGCATTTCTATTGTTTGACCCCATATTAAAGTTTTATACAGTTTTGCACTATGGGATGTCTGGTTTTGTTTTGATTTATGCTGAAAATAAGAAACACTGCCTGTGGAGGAGAGGAGTTGCCTAACATTGATGCAGATCTAGTGGAAAGTTATTGGTTACTACCAGCAACCACGGTTATAAGGGCGAAGGAATGTCGGCCATCAGGACCGGATTGCATACTGGGACAGTCCCAAAAAGTGAGTGACTTACCCAGAGATAGGTGGTCATGAAATGATGGTGAGTTTACATCTACGTGGGGCACCAGTGTGAACACAGTGAAGCATTTGTCATTTCAGTATGGAGTATCACCGTTAAAGATACAGCACCGTTGCACCAATTATTCACATGTTGGGACTGAATATTAATATTGTGTTTGTATGTTGCTCAGTGTTATCACTTTAAAGATTGCACAGTTTATTTTGTCAATTTGTGACCTTACCGCAGTCCATTTTTTAAATATATAAGGGGTGCTTGGGTGTGCAGGAAGGTCTGTTGATGCTGGCTGCTTCAGGATCTATTGTCACTGGAGGGGATGTATTTTTGCTTGGTGGTCTATTGTTGCTCGGGGGGTCTATTGTTGCTGGTGTGGGATCTAATATTGCTGGAGGGCTGTGGGTGTGCTGGAAGGTCTGTTGATGCTGGTTACTACGGGATCTATTTTTGCTTGGTGGTTTATTGTTGCTGGGTGGGTCTATTGTCAGTGGTGTGGGATCTATGGTTGCTGGAAAGAATCTACTGTTGTTGGAAGGGTCTATTGTTGCTGGCTGCTGAAGAGTGAATTGACGCTGGTTGTTGGGAGATCTGTTGTTGCTGCTGGGGTTCTATTGTTACTGGGGTGGTATTTTGTTGTGGGGGTCCATTGCTGCTGGGGAGGGAGTCTATTGCTGCTAGCTGCGGGGGTCCTGTTTTACTGCTTTTCTTGTTATCATTAACAAATTCCATACAAGTTACTTAGCATTACAAAATTATACTTGGCTCTTTACTCTCTAAAAGGGGCGGTACTAGGAGGTGGGTAAGGAGTGGAAAAAAGGAACAGTGCTTGGACATGGGTAGGGGGGCAGAGACAAGAAGTGACTCAGAAGGGGGAGTTCCTGCACCTATTCTCTGAGGGAAAAAAAATCCCTGCTTGCAAATATACAGTATATTAATGTAGCACACTCCTAGATAGGTGCTAGGTTTAGATAGATTTAGTTTGTACTTTGATAGGTAAATTTAGTTGTCACACTGTAGACAGTGTGGTTGTAATTGTTTTTAGATAAAAGCATAACTTGCACACTGTTATCAGTGTTGCTGTGTTCTGCTAGTTAGGTCTACTCAGTATCCTCAGCTGCTGCCAGCCTGATAGCTCCCTCTGCATCCAGAAAGCTTGAGAAGCTTCTGGATAATAGGTGTAGAGCTATGCATATGGCAGCATGAATATTGATGCAGCCCTGGCCTATCCCAGCACACTGATGGAATGCTGGGTAACTGTATATATTCAGTGAGCACACTGAGTTCTGGGTCTTTTCCTGTATAGGGTTGGTCCAGCCTAAAAGGGGCATGCTGCCCTCCCAGGCAATTCTGCTGGAACTACTGCCATAGGCCTCAGGTGGGTGACCTGAGGGCCTGAATGCTGAGATACAGGTTCTGCTAAAGTTGAATGAGGGGCCATCTACTGAAGATCTGGTGTCATGGAGGACGGCAACCAGCTGTCCTTGGGGCTTGTGTTTACAGACACCACTAAAAGGATCTTAGAGACTATGTGCTACTTAAACCCCTCTGGTGCTAGGCAGTCAGCTGTGGGTCTAGCTAAAGTGGACACCAGCTAGTGTTCCAAAACGTTTTGTCCACTTAACCTCCTACCTAAAGGGACTCTGCTTTAGTTTGCCACTACTACTACTACTACTACTACTACTACTGCCTTAAAGCTGAAGTCTACTGTTTGTTTCAAGACTTTCACAGACTTCATCATAGCTTACCCGAAATAATACCTAAAGTCCTCAACTGTACATAGTTCTTGTTTTTGGAGTGTCCTACCCAATTCTCTCAACCCTGTCCAAGTTCTCCAAAAATAAAAACGACAACCAAAAAAAAACACCCCTAGACTGGTCAATAATGGAAACGTTTGAATGAGCCTGGCAGCGGGGCAAAGCTTTTGGGGAAGATCTGGACAGTATTCCTGCAGCTCCAATTGGAGCAGAACCTAAAATACCACTTTATATAGCTAAATGGGAGAAGGAATTGGGATTGATGGAAAATGAACATCAGAGAGCTAAAATATTAGGGGAAGCAAGTTTTTGAATGATGCAGGGCAGTGCTTTAAGGTGTTAGCTTAGGTGGTACACCACTCCAGTCACAGGTTCCAGGTGGAGATGTCTTCTCTGTATTGGGGGGTTGTGATGAACCTGGAACCTTTGGGCATATTTAGTGGCACTGAGGACATTGGTGCTTTGGGAAGAAATTACCAACATTAAAAAACAAATATGGATGGACCCCTGGAGGCTCCTGTTTCGTAAAACAAAAATATCAGCTGGCAAGTATAAGATGCCCCTCATGCCATATTTATTGAATATAGCCAAATAGTTGATTCCAAAGTATTGCAAATGAAAAAAATAATATGGAGAAATGAATTGTGAAAGTTTACTATATTTGTGACAATGCATACATACGAGGATACTGTGGATATGTTTGTAGCAAAGTGGAAGAAGTGGTTGATATTCAAGGAATCAGAAAAGTACTTTAACCACTTGCCGCCCAGCCACCGCCTATAAACGGCGGCAGGGCGGCGCTCGTAGGTAAAACGACGTTTTAAAACGGACCTCCGCAAAACAGGTAGGGGGCGCACGTGAGGCGCGCGCCCACCCTGCCTGTCCCGCGGGTGTCAGCAGCGGGTGTCAGCCGCCGGGTCACGGCCGGTTTTTACCGGCCGTTTTCCCGCAATGAGCTGTTATCACTGACACAGAGCAGAGCTGCATTGTTTACACACAGCCCTGCTCTGTGACAGTTCCCCGACAAGCTGAAGAGGGAGAGAAGAATTTCTCTCCCTCGATCAGTTCCCCCCTCCCCCCGTCCAGCACACACCCCCGCCCCCTAGTAAAACACTCCCCTTACACAGTAAACTCTAAATATGTTAACCCCTTCCTCCCCAGTGACATTAGTACAGTATCAGTGGGGTTTTTTTCACTGATCACTGTATTGGTGTTACTGGGGATGTCAGTGACCCCAAGTCAGTTCCCCCCCAGTGTCAAAATGTCCGCCACAGTCCCGCCATAGGTCCCCCGCAGTCCCGCCATAGGTCGCTGATTGCCGCCATAGGTCGCTGATTGCCGCCATAGGTCGCTGATTGCCGCCATAGGTCGCTGATTGCCGCCGCCATAGGTCGCTGATTGCCGCCATAGGTCGCTGATTGCCGCCATAGGTCGCTGATCGCTGCCATATGTCGCTGATCGCCGCCATTATTAGTATAAAAAAAAATTAAAAATCCCAGTATCTTTCCCGCCATTTGTAAATGCTATAACTTTCACGTAAACCAATTAATTTACATGTATTGGGTTTTTTTTACCAAAGACATGTCGCAGAATGCATTTTGGCAGAAATTTATGACTAAATTTGATTTTTGCATTTTTTTTTACTGGACATGTTTTATAGCAAAAAGTCCAAAATATTGTTTTTTTTTCCTCAAAATTGTCAGCCTTTTTTTTTATAGCGCAAAAAATAAAAACCGCACAGGCGATCAAATACCACCAAAAGAAAGCTCAATTTGTGGGGAAAAAAAGGATGTAAATTTCATTTATGTACCATATTGCATGACCGCACAATTGTCTGTTAAACTAGCGCAGCGCTGTATAGCAGAAAAATGGTGTAAATTGCAGTATTTATACCATAGTTTGTAGACGCTATAACTTCCACACAAAGCAATCAATATACACTTATTGGGATTTTTTTTACCAAAAACATGGAGCAGAATACATTTTGGCCTAAATTTATAACCAACTTTGAATTTACTATATATTTTTTATAGCTGAAAAGTAAAAAAATATTGTTTTTCTTCAAAATTTTTGGTCTTTTTTTGTTTATAGCGTGAAAAATAAAAAGCGCACAGATGATCAAATTACACCGAAAGAAAGCTCTATTTGTGTTAAAAAAAGGACGTAAATTTTGTTTGGGTGCAGCATTGCATGACCGCGCAATTATCAGTTGAATTAGTGCAGCGCCGAGTAGCAAAAAGAGGCCTGGTCATTAAGGGGGTAAATCCTCAGGAGCTCAAGTGGTTAAGAAAAGGAGTAAAAGAAGAGTAAGGACGGAAATAAGATATGAAAAGCAGAAAAAATGGGGGTCATCAACTTACTGTATGTTTATGTAAGCTAACTTTTATATTTTGTAAGGAATCAGTTTGTGTGGGATAATTTGAGGATTTAAGAATGGGGACCACAAGGAGAAGGGGTGTAAGGTTGGGGGGAAAAGAAAAAGAACAGAGAGACAAGGACGTCTGCTGCTGTCAATCAAATCCTGTGACAAGAAAGTGGGGGGCAGTACTGAGCCTCACTGTCTGTGTCTATAGATGCAGGCAGCATGGCTCGGGACTGTGCCCACGGAACTGCCTCCATAGGAAGCAGCTTCCTATGAGGGGCACTTGCCAAAGAGGTGGAGTCTGGAGTGCCAGGGGGGAGACCTCAGAAGAGGAGGTTCAGGGCTGCTCTGTGCAAAATAATTGCACAGAGCAGGTCAGTGTAGCACTACCCCTTAGGAGTCGCTAGAAGATTTGGGTCCCCCTATAGTCCTGCACAACCAGGCATTACACATCTTCACACAAGTTTGCATCCAGAGTCAGAAATCAGTCCTTGAGCTTTGGTTTTGTTTAGGGGATTTGAACTAGAATAGGAGTTGGAGGTGTGTATAGGATGCCCAAGGGTACTGATGAACCGAGGGCAATGTCTTGGAACTATTTACAAGCGTTTTCTGCAGCACTGTCTCTGTTGGAGAGCTAGCCAGCATCTTCTTAGTGTACCACCCCAGACCCTAGATGTACTTCTCCTCTTCACCCAGCAGTCTGGAGGTATCCCTGAACAAGGGATCCAGTTCCTCCCACTTTAAGAGATAAACAGTCTCTGGCAGGTGGCTAATCTGGATTCCCACCAGAGTGCTCCTTCCCCTATCCACCCAAGGGGTGCAGGTGTACGCACTCAGATCCTCTCCTGTACCACTGGTGGGATGGTGACTGTTACCTTGCCTATCAGCTTTCCATACAGGTGGTCCTTTCTCAGGGAGCCAGTGAGTTCTGATCTTTCCTCCTTTCCAGCTCCAGGCCTGCAGGTAGGCCCCATCCCACTGAGCCTCCTCACAGCCTTCTTCCTTCAGCCTCACATCTTTCTCTCTATCTTCTACCTGAACTCTCCTCTACTGCTACTGAGCAGGCTCCAACATTTTAAGGGTACACCAGTCCCTTGCCAACCTGTTGGGGATTGGTTAGGATTCCTCAAGAGTGCAAACCAAGCACTCCTGAGATCCACCCACTGCCTCTAGGGCCTTCCTCCAAAGCCCTAGAGCAGGAGAAAATTCCAGAGGGGCTGGCCTGCAGAACTCTTGAGCAAGATTTGATCTTCTAGCTATTACACCTAGGCGGCTACTCAGCCCTCCTCACTGACAATTAAAACACTAGCTCCCCCTAGCTAAACTAGGAAGGTGCTACATCAGTATAACATGTTTATTATTAAAAAAGAGGATTTACAATCACTTCAATGGTGACAAATTACCTTAAAACATATCTATACCAAAGAACATAAATGTATTTGTCTTTTTTTACATCTCTGCCACCTTAAAGTAGATCTAAAATTAAGAACAAAAAATTGTGATAATGTGAGCTTGTGAGCTATTATGGTGGTATATAAATATTTGTGAATAATTAGCTCCTATAAATGTAATGGTGCATCAACACAAAAACACATACTCATAACGTTGTGTGAAAATAGATAAATAAAATGTTAAATGTGTCGCGCTCCTCAATATTATTTAGTGATCTATAGTAATAAATAAAAATAAATAAATCTAAATTATTTTAAATAAATATTATTAAATAAATCTAAATAATTTTAAATAAATATTAATCCATAGTGATGAGATTTTAAAAAACCTTCTAGTGCTGTATTTGATTATCCATATTAATGAAAATAAATAATGTGAAAAAAGCAGATGAATTCAAATTATATAAACACAATATTATTCAAATCAGGTAAACTAAAGAAACCCCCATGCATAGTAGTATTTATGTGCAAAACTTATATGTGCAAAAATGCAAAAAAAAAAAAAATTTTTTTTCAACAGTTATATAAAGAGAAATATATATAATATATATATATATATATATGATAAAAAAACAATGCACTAATTCATATGAAAAATAATAATAATAAATAAAATAATAAATAAATAATAAATATTGGTAAGACAATACAAATAATGTAGTGTGCTCACTCTCACTTGTACAGCCTGCAATAGTGATTATAACTAGATACTGGTTATCCTTAACTCAGGTGACATGTAATTGTCCCGACAATGGAAGATGTATTGCTGTTGAGGTAGATTGTAATATTGCATTCCTTCCACTAGATGGCCTTTTCTTCTAAGTTATGAGGGCTGGATAGATGGAAATAGATATCTCCCCTCGTCTTGTTAGGGTCTATCTCCTGTTTCCTCTTCTTCCCTTTTGCTCCTCAGTTGTGATGAGATAGCGATAACTCCAATCTTAGTTGAATAACACAGGCAGTGACTCCAGAAGACATCTTGTAGATCTTGTGAAGTTTATTCTATAAATTGGAAACACTTTAAAAGTCCCCTGGGAACACAGGGGGTCCAACTGCTAGCGTGTGGACTTGTTTCTCAAATCTTTATTACTATATATCACTAAATAATATTGAGGAGCGCGACACATTTAACATTTTATTTCTTTAAGAACAAAAAATGTTACATACTGAAACTTTTTTCTTTTTAAGGACGTTTTTAAGGACGTTTTTCCATTATTTTCTCCTGGTGATCCTGCCAGTAACACATTTCCTATCTTAAAAGTGACAACACTCACTTCACTGTATATATGGAGGAGGTATTTTTTGTACTTGTAGAAAATGGATTTAGGCTAAAAAAAAAAGAAGTTTAAGGGTTGGTCACACACAAAATGCACTACAGGAAGGCAGGTTCCGTGCGCATTTCCCACACCACAGGGGAATGTGCTGCCCTTACAAGAGAGTAAGAGTGCCAATGAATAGTTAATGGCCCCCTAAATGCATCTCACGAATGCAGCATGTTTGTTGGCACCGAATTGCATGCTACCGCAGTACCGTACAGTTTGTTGCGGTGTGTTCTGAAAAAGTAGTGATTTTTCCACATTTCAGTGTGGAATGGGCATTTGAATGGACTGCAAAATCGGACTGCATGGAAACTCGCAGCAAATGTGCAGCATGTGTTCTAGTTTGAACCAGCCCTAAGACAGCCATCACAAGGAATAGCAAGAGGCTGCATTGGAAACTTACCCAACAGAGGAGGAGAGAGTCCCAACCAGGGGCGGACTGACAACTCATGGGGCCCCCGGGCAATAGGGGATCATGGGGCCCCTGTGTCCTTGCCCAAACTAAAAAAAGCCTATGAAAAAGGTACCAGGGGCATCTCATGGGGCCCCCTACTGACCTCGGGCCCTCAGGCAGTGCCCGAGTTTACAAATGGTCAGTCCGCCCCTGGTCCCAACATCACTGCTAAGGAGGACCCCATCCTTTGGAGGAGTATTAAGCTGCAGCATATAGCTCATTGGTCCTGAGGGACCTGGGCAGGAAGGTGAGGGGGCACCCCAGGCACTGAGGATTGTCACGCAATTTTGAGCACCTGCATGGAGAGTGTTTTTTCTATTCATAAGGACACTTTTCTGTTCATGTCATAATTTGCATGTTCTATATCCCCCCATAAGGGACGCACAAGTTCAGCACTTATTGATCCCTCAATTGAGGATCGTTTTCAACCTATGGGATTGGAGCCTCTTGTGGCATACCTGTTACTTTAGCCATTGATGTGTTATTGTACTATTTAGCGCTGCACTACGTTTATATTTAAAGTTGCAATATATTAAGACTTTTTTTAATATAACTAAAGGCAAAATCTTATTTGTTGGATAGAGTGGAGAGGGATTAAAACACCTGTCAGATTTTTATTGTTATCTGTGCCCCCGTTAGGGGTATTTTCACTCTCTATTTGTGAAGTTTACCATTATCACAGAAAGTGAAAGTGAATCAAAATTGCAAATTTTGGTTCATCCCCAGGGGAAATCTTTCAATGGGGACACTAGGTCTGCTGACCCTGGTGCAGGGGCGGACTGACCATTTGGAAACTAGGGCACTGCCCGAGGGCCCGGGGTCAGTAGGGGGCCCCATGAGATGCCCCTGGTACCTTTTTCATAGGCTTTTTTGAGTTTGGGCAAGGACACAGTGGCCCCATGATCCCCTATTGCCCGGGAGCCCCATGAGTTGTCAGTCCACCCCTGCCCTGGTGACAACCAGGAATTCCCTTACTTTGAATGGTTTTCCTCTCACTTCCTGTTCTTGCTATGGGCAGCAAATTTCCCTAATAGGATGGCATGAGTTATTATAACCCTTTCCTTCTCTATCCAAAAAATGAAAAAAAAGTTTGCTTTTATTTCTACGTTAAGTTTGTGCCACCTTTAATATATCTAAAATCAAGAACAAAAACATATTAAATTAAAGCTTACCAGTTTTTGGATGTAATGTTAATTTTCCTTTATAAGGATTTTTTTTTTTCAATTATTTCCTCCTCGTGATCTTGCCAGTAACACACTTTATGTCCTAGGTGACAACATTTACTGTACTGTATCTATGGAGGAGGTTGCTCTCCTGATTTAGGCTACAAACATATAACTTCTGTACTCATCTCTGTTACACAAAGAAGACAAGTTGTGCAGTTCACAGAAGATAGCTGGGAAAGCTTATAACATTGTTTGAGACTTCAGTTCAGTGTACAAGGAGTTACAAAGATACTGGAATTCTGGCAGAATGAATAGGTTTTTTTTGTACTTGTAGAAAATGTACAAGAGCTGTATCAAAATGAATGCAAAAGTGGGCATAACGGTTTTAATTTACATAGGTCATTCAAATTTCATGTATCTGTAGAGTAAAGCCGGCCATACATGCATTGAAATTTGGCCAGTTCAGCAGTCACTTGGCCGACTTGTGAATATAGCACTACCCCCTTAGGAGTCATTGAGTTTTGGGCTCCCTATAGTCCTGCACAGCCAGACAACATGCATTTTCTTCAGACCTTGCACACTGGAGACAGTAAATAGTCATTGAGCTTTTGCTTGTGGTTTTATTAAGGGATATTGAACTTGAATTGGGTTGAGAGGTGTATGAGATGACCAAGGAACTATGAACATGGGGACAAATCTTCTTGGCAACTATGTACATGTCCATAGACAAACAGTCTCTTCTTGAATAGCTCTCCCGCCCTTTCTGGTGTACCTCCTCAGACCCCAGATGAATCCTCCTCTTCACCCTGCTGCCTGAGGGAATCACAGAGCAAGGGGACCCAGAAACTTTAGCCAAGGATGGGTGCAGGCAACATCCACAGAAGACTACAGAATGTTTATGGAGATGACACCATTGACAAAAGCAATGTTCTTGTAGTTGGTGAATCTTGTCAATGGTGTCATCTCTGTAAATATTCTGTAGCCTTCCGTGAATGTCGGACAGCCTGTGCCCCTCCTTTGCCAAGTACTCAGTGGCGGAACTTCTTGGAATCAGGGGCGGAGTGACAATTTGGAAACTCGGGCACTGCCCGAGGGCCCGGGGTCAGTAGGGGGCCCCATAAGATGCCCCTGGTACATTTTTCATAGGCTTTTTGAGTTTGGGCAAGGACACAGGGGCCCCATGATCCCCTATTGCCCGGGGGCCTCATGAGTTGTCAGCCTGCCCCTGCTTGGAATCTATTACTTATCTGCAATGAAAAACATGAAGATAAGTTACTATAAGTGGTTATTCTAACAACAATTGAAGTTTGAAAGACCTATGTAAGTTAATAGAAAAGTTATACCCACTTTTGCATTACGTATGGTACAGCTCTCATACATAGCCTGAAAAAAGAAATCTAATGCAGCCATCACATCTACAGTCAAGCTGTGAACCGTAACTCTATAGATAAAATCAAAAATTCTGATTGATTTTAATGTACTGAACATATTTAAAAAAATGTATTTGTTTTCCTTCATCTTTCATCCGTTCCAGTCTTCTTCCATTTTTTACATTTGGTATTTACCAGCAAGCATCTTTGCATGGACAGGCTTGATGGACAGAAGACTAAATCTACCTAAGGAACTTGGCAAAGGGTCTGAAAGCCTTTCCAAAGGTAGTGTTAAAAGTGTTACTCTTGCAGCTTGGAATTAGCATCAGACATACTTTTTCATGGTAAGCGAGTGTAGCACTTATTCCCGAAGGAGCTGCTGATATATGGGTCCCCCGTTTCTGGATGACATGGACCCTTCTGGCAATGACACACCAAACCTGAAGTAGGATTTTTGTAGGCTATACATACAAAGAGGCAACAACAACAAACAACGACAACAACAATAAACATTAACAGAGTAAAACAAATTTGTAAATACAACGAACAATGCGAGAACCAAGTATTTCTGTACCTGAATCCTAATTAAAGGCGATGCGAGAAGTTGAAAGTCTCTCCAAAGCCCTCCCCCTAGCTAGTGTGGCAATGAACGTTGGGGTCCGAAGTGCTGCATTGGAGCACTCGTGTATATTGTTATTCCACGGTAAAATCCCCAAACTATGTCCCAAGTTAAAGTGGCCCGTCCCTGTAAGACAAGGTTAGTAAGGTTGGGGCCAGCTGCCTCTCACCACTATGTAGTCTGTTATAAGGCCTTCTCTTGCTCTCCAGTGTCGCTGGAGAATCTGTGGTGTTGGTGGAGACTCTGCATTTGATTGGCGATCTCTCACGAAATCACTGACGTCCCTCTCCTCCAGCTTAATGGACCTGTCCAATGGCTGTGGTGAACATGCGAATTCGGCAGCACAGTCCCACTCCAACAACATGGTGAGCTCTGGCAACAGCAGCGTTTCCAGCTCAGCACCACACTCTAACAGTCACTTTTCACACCCCATGTAAGACTGCCCCAATCCAGGCTTCTCCTTTTTTCCTTCTCTCGCAGCACACCATCCCTCCTGGGACTTGTAGTACCATACAGTACTTTGCATAATGCAGATTATCTCCTGGGGACTACATCTCCCATAGGTCTAGGCAACTTTAGGTCACAGTGTCTAGGTATAGGTGGGTGTCAGGGACTGCGGGTCTCGCAGCGGCGCACAGGTCTGCACATACACAGATTGCCTAGGTGCACTAATGTGCAGGCACTAGGACCTGGGCGTCAGCGTCGGCAATTGCACCAATGACTGTGCAGGGCGCACTATTTAAACTGGCCAGACGGTGACTAGGTTGCCGCAAGGTCTAGTTCCTGTACCCGTGTTCTGGTGTGTGTTCCTGTTGCCGGTCCTGATCTGTGTTGACCTTCTCCTGCTCTGACCCCCGGCTCGTCCCTGACTACTCTCCTGTCTGTTGTATATTACTATTGGACCTCCCGTTGCTGAACCTTGGCTCGTGACCCGGCTGCTCTCTCTCTACTGTTTGGTACCTACCTGCCTCCACCATTACCGACCTGGCTAGTCTGACTACGCTCATTCCTGACTGTCATCCATCCATCCCGCTCGGGACCTGGACTTGTCAGCCTCTTCACAGCAGGCTCACCCCCCCAGCACGTACCCTCGGCGGGACCCCTCTACCACGGGTGGGTGCACTCAGGGGTCGCGACCTGGTTTTAGTCTCGCACCAAGTCCATCCCCACCATCAGGGGGCTCTGGTGAAAAGGCAGACTGGGGCTTAGACTCTGCGCCCTGGGGAATCCTGTTCTGTGGGTCACTAGAGATTCACACACAGAGCCATGGCTCAGCCCCTCCTGCTCCTCTTGCAATGGCTCCCACTGCTGTCTAAGCTAATGAGGAGGGAGAGTCCCTAGTACGGGCTTCCTCGGGAACCACAATCTGATTTTCTTTCCAAAGAAGCCCCTCCCTATTCAATAAGGGGATACCGGGTGGACCTGGCATACCTACGGATGCGGTCTGCAGTCTAGAGTGGAGTTCGGATTGTAGGGCCACAAAATTTCCCGAGGACAGAATGGTGTCAGGTTTGGGAGTCTCGTCAGGCTCCCCGAACATGCGTGACTTCCGGAATCAGATCCGGTAAGAATACGGGGTGGAATCCATAATTCGCGAAAAATGGGGATTGCTTTGTAGCCGAATGACTCGCGTTGTTATACGCAAATTCCGCTAGTGGCAGGAGGGTCAACCAGTCATCTTGGAGGAAGGTGGTATAGCACCTGAGGTACTGCTCCAAGGTCTGATTCGTTCGCTCCATCTGGCCATTGGTTTGTGGGTGGTATGCCGAGGAGAACGACAGCTTAATCCTGAGCGTTTCACATAGAGCATTCCAAAATCTAGATGTGAACTAAACCCCCCAATATTTACAGTGATAATCAGGGCACTGATCATAAGTACCCTGATGATCAGTGCAGCATATCAGTGCCTATCAGTGCAGCCCCATCAGTGCAGCATATTGGTGCCTGTGACCGACCGCTTGCCACCCCGATTGGGTGATTCCATCAGAGAACTGCTTCCTTGCCGCTGGGACACAGGACCAAGGTATTATAACTGGGCATCACACCCAAGACTTGAGCAGAAATACAGG